TCTCTTTGGCGCATTACTCTGAAGACGGACCAAACTTGGTCCGAAACGTCAGATGTCCCTAATTAAAGAACATTTTACGCGTGGTCATACCGTTTGTGAATTGCCAAAGGATCATATCATATATCATATATATAATCAACGAAATGGATGCAGCAATACGGTCATTATACCAATCAGGGTGATAGAGAAATAGCTATACTATCTGCATTGAGGTCGCTCCGCACCTCCGTTCTGATCTTTAGCCCACAATGCTGGATACTGAAAAGAAGAGGCGATTCCGAATACAAGCGGCCTAGATTACGTTTCATCATAGAGATGCTGGCGTGATACGGCTCGACGAAGTCAGAAACATGGGAGTTTCAAATATGCTTAATCGTAAGACGAACTTTTACCGGATCGAGAGATCACAATCACTTAGACTATGACTTGGATATGTGATCAAGAAGCTAGAGAAAAAAACTGCAAGGCCGACAGGTGACTCGTGAATATGGAATACATTGGATTGCCGTTGCTCGTATTTCAACCTGTAAAGACTGTCAGAGGACCCACGCACAGAAAGGTTTTTTTGTATCTACGTCGGTAGGTAGCGTCAAAAGTAATGCCGGCCTCTGGAAATAGATGAATTGACGGATTTTACTCAAATACTGCATTTCTGCATATTTTTACGAAATAACAACACTTTACGTTCTGCAGTTTTGCTACACATTGTATTTATTTACTTACAATATTTTCGTTTAATACTCATTAAATTAATCTTTAAACGCCTTCTTCATTCTAATCAACTTCTGTTTAGCATGAAAGCACGTAATAAATAAAACAGCTCGACACACCTAAGCAAAAACAAATGTTCACTTCGCAAACCTGATTGCAATACTCTTCAACAATTCGGTATGCCCACTTTTTGCAGAACTTCCACGGCCTGATCGGATTGCTTACATCGGCAACTTTGATCAGCATTTGACATACGGTTCTTCTTGGGTCAACAGAGTTCAGCAGCTTCGACGAGGCTTCGGCTCTTGAAGACATCTCCTGAAAAAAACTAGAAATGTTGTAGTTATAAACTAAATGCGTACTGTTAAAGACTTATTTCAGTATTTCTGAACAGAAACATAAGAAAATACAATTTTCCGATTTAGAGATTATGCGAGAACTTTTGCAGAAAGGTTAGAGAGAAATCTTCAAATAGAAACACTTCAAAGAACGTCTCGTAAAAGCTAATTTAACGAAAAAGTGTAAATGGCTTTAGATTAAGTTTATACATATGACATGAATATTACTGTCCAAAATAGGTAAGAAGAAGAAGCGGTTGAAGACCAAATGAAGAGATTCAAAATTCACTCCGAAAGTCACAAAGAATGTAATTATCCTATTATGTCACTTCTGTTATGAATCGGAACTAGAACCCGTTTGAACTCGAAAAGCCAATGTGCAGAGTGAACCAGTGATCTATGCGAAATGCGCTAACCAAAAGACCTACGCTTGATCTGTGAACAAAAAAATCGAATTCTGCTGTTTGTTCCGTTTTTTAAAACTGCGGAGAAACCCTCCAGGCTCATGAATTTGACTTCGTAGAAGATGCATGTATCAAATAACAGCGTTCGGGTCACAAACAAATTAATGTAGGGAACAGATCGGCAACAAGCAAGACAAGCAAACTATTTGTGAAGGAAACGTTCCTTACACGTTAGACATAAATCACAGATTAACCTCTATTACTGACGTGTAACTGCTGCCGTGCCTCATGAGAAGAAAAGAAGAAATAAGAGAAAAAGTCGTCGTTTTGTGCGTTTGTTTACGTACGAGGACGAAAGGACCGCGAACCGCGACAATGAATGGAATGTACAGTGGTACGATTGCCAGCTCGATAGTCAGGGAGCTGCTTAAGTTGCCAGGTAGGTATGGAGTTGCTTCACGATCGATTCAACCCATACAGTATTAATGGCAATGATTCATTCAATTTGATGTTTCATGACGATTCAGCAAATGAACACAAAGCACTGATCGCTTGCAAATGATCAGCACAGTTATTAATAAATTAGCTTACATACGCCAGACTCCAAGACCGTTTGCTTGAACTTCGACAAGTACTCGAAATGCTTCATCATATCAGTTGCCAGCACCATGTCCACGATACGTTTGCGCAGCGATATGTACGCGTCCCTGCTCAGTTGACTGAATATGTTGAGGTCCGTGTTGGTCAAGGTAAGATTGAACGCAAATGCGACATGATGATTTTCCAGGACAGATCTACGTCGAGCGTGGTTAACAGACAGAACAGAGAGTGCCAATGCCGTCGCTTACAGGTCGTTATACATCAAGGCCAGCGGGTGATTCGTGTTGATGAGGAAAGTACTTGTTTTACCTGGATGATCGACGTCATGGATTGCGGCGGCCAGCAGTGAAGCGACCGCATCTGAGTGTTCAATTATGTTCTAAAATGATATGAGATCAACACTCAGAAAATGAATTTACTATGCACGACCAAAATTTAATAGACAATGGATCTTGCGTATTCGTGGAATGACACTTGTCCTGAAAATAGGTGATCACAAGTCTACCATTTATTCATATCTACCTTCTGCCTAATCAACAAATCGCTGACCACTTGGTTCACTAAAGTTTCATGTGCAAGGAATATATGAGCTCATTTGATCTGACTGATGGCCGGAAAGCCATCAGCAAAATTGTTTACATCGAAAAATCTAATAAATGACCCTTTAAACTCAAATCTCGCCTAAATGTTTCTCCCACGATCTTGAAGCTTCTTTGGCATATTATTCTGATAATAAAACCTCTATGCTCCGCATGTGTGACTTGTTGTAGTCAGTACTAACCACTTCTAATCAATACCATCTCCTTAGCTTGAAGAAGCTCCATGAGATAGGACAGATCGTCAGTACAATGCCAAACTTGTTTCAGGATGTGTATAAATAATCCGTTTCATGTTGTTCCGTATGACTCCCAGCACACGTACAAAGTTTTCGGTCTTCCAACAATAAGAATTAACCAATCATATTTTTTACGTAATGAATGACTCCTCCAAGACCAGATTTCACGGTAGCATGGGGGCATTTAACCAATCTACGCCTTCATGGTATTTGAGGACCTGCCGTGCTAGACGCCTCATGTGCTACTGCATAAACATCATAAAATGTTGGTAGTCTGACTATGCCAAATAATGAATATCTCCCCCAAGACCAGATTTTCAATATTCCTTCTTCTAAATTTTTAAATTAGATATTCAGCATTGTTTTCAACTTTCTTCTCCAAAAACGTGCTGGCCCTAGCAAAAACGGGTGTTTTATTCTGTAAGGCACAGTTCAAGATTTCCGGAGAAATATCTTGCTTACCTGGAGTACGCAGACGATACTGAACAGTGGTACGGGGAGCGGGCTCCATCATCTGATGGCACCCGGTGGCAACACAGCAGCAAGACAAGCCTCTTCATTAACGCGCCGAGCCAAAATTTATCGGAACCCCATCCGGTACAGCTGATCTACAAGCGGAGCAGGGAGGCGATGAATTTGAAGAGTTTG